CGCGAAGTCGAGCACTTTACGGTAGCACAGTTTAACGAGGACCAATACCGCACACCCTCGGTCCCTACGCAGACTGATCCAAGTGGTCACCCACCCGCACACTGATCACAGCCAGTGATGCTTGACTTCGGTGATCTGCTGGGAACCGTGTCTTAACGATCAGTCCACTGCGGGACTTTCAAGTTAAAATATTTTAATCTATATGAAAATCAAGAGAGAAACTAACATACTTCCTTCCTCTATGACTTTCCACACGCTAATGGGGAAAGCATGTGAAGTGTTGCCATAGGAAAAGAGTTCTGCTCTACGCCACCTGCAGCCCATTTCGATCGCCAATGATGGAGTTTCAGTATCGTCTGTTTGAGTTCAATTATGTCATTAAAACGTTTTCGTGGTTTTCAGTTGTGTTTAATGTAAATTCTAATTATTTTCATTCAAAAAGTCTTTCAAAATATGATTTTACTCCTGTTTTTAAATTACAAGATACTTTGATAACTGGGTTGTGTACAAAAACAAAAAAGTACAAAAGTAAGAAGAGCATTTCACAACATTTACAAAGATGATAGGCCATCTATCAAGGATGGTAAAAAAATGATTGATTATTAAATAATGATTTTATTGCTTTAATGAACATTTAGCTGGAATCCTATTACCGCTCAGGAATCTGAAGGACTTTTTTGTTGTTTTCCTTTGAGTGCAACGCAAGATTAGATGATTTTAGTTCTTAATTGAAATGGGTTATTTTTCTAGTTTTCATAAATATAATTGTACTTCGATACTTAAATTGCGAGTTACTTTGATTTCTGCGTTGAGTTAATAAAAAGATCTTTTCGTTATATTTAGAAAGATGATACCCTATCTGTCAAGGATAATAATAATAATAAAAAAATGGTTGCTTATAAAAAAAAAATTCATTGAGATAACGATGAACATTTAGCTGGAACCCAATCCAATTACCTCCAAACTATCAATAAAAAAAAACATTTTCCTGGTTTTCCTTTGAGTGCGACACAAAATTTGATTATTATAATTTAATCTTAATTACAATAAATTTATCTTATAAAACTTTTATAGACATCATTGTACCCCGATACTTAAACTGCGACTTACTTTGTTTTATGGGTTGTGTTAAAAGTAAGAACAGCATTTCGTTATATTCCCAAAAATGCTAAAATAAGCATTTATAATTAAATTATAATAGAACCAGGAGCTTCAAACTAGTAACTATGATTGAATAAGCAAGTATCCTTCCTTCGATTGTTATTAACCCAAGTTCTGAAAACTGAAAATAAACAAAACCGAAACTTAAATATATAATTTTCCGTAATCTGAATGAACTTTGGTTTTAAAATTAAAATAATAATTTAAAAAAAAGTAAATTATAAGCGATGTAGACACCTTTAAGCAATATGCAAAATAATAAATTGGTTTTCAGAAATAAAAAGAAAAATTGAACTTAAACTGCTTTTTAATGATTAACATTGATTACACTCACTGCGGGAATGTCCGAAAATAGTATACATAAAGATGTGAGCGCCACTTTTTATTCATAAAACCGGTGTGCCAATGGCGTATTGCTTTTCGAAAGAAAAAAAAAACAATTTTTTGTGGTTTATTTCATTTTTATAGTAATTGTTTAGTTGCAATAGTTATGAAATGGAATATTACAATATCATAAAGTATAACGATGGATAATGGAAGGTGTTTTCTACATTGGGGAACGCTGCAAGCTCGGTGTCGCCTAAATTTCCGGGTTACTGCTTCCGTTGTATTTTAAAGCCATTTGGCATCATTGTGTTTTGAGATTTTTGCAAACAATGTATTTGATTACTTATTACTTGTGTTTACAATGCTAACAATACTGTTGTTTACAATGCTAAAAGAGTTAACACTAACGTAAGATGGTGCATAGCTTGTAACAAGAACAAACGTTAATAAACTTATGGAAAGAGGCCATATCAAGACTGCCAAAAAAGCGAGTTATTCAAAATCTAGCAACCATGTCACCTTTTTTAACAATAAATCTCTAAAAAACTAAAACAAATTTTCACTTCAAACTCACCAGAATTACATATTAGCATTAATATCTTATGAAATATGGCAGATTTGAGCTCAGAAATTATCTAATTTATTTCTTTTATTGAAAACAAAATTATCAGTTTGAAAATATCGCGTATCAGAATAACATGTAGTTAGCAGCTGCAAACTTATTAACCGGAACTAAAGTAGGTACCGAGCTCGAGATTGTTATTGTTTACATTTCTGTTGAAAACACCATCCATAACGCACTGTCTTGCGTCGAAGACTTTCAATTTGCAATTGATCGCAATTTGCAATTTGATCGGCAAGCTAATTCTATTGCCTAGAAGAACTTGGGTTGACCGAAGTTTGGGCGCTGTAGCCCATTTCGATCGCTATTTTTTTCTTGCACACTTTTTTGAATATAATTTCTTGAATAACTACCATATTTTCTAGATCATGAATATCTATAATATCCTTGTCAATAAAAGAGAGTTGTGGCCGCGATGGATATAAGTGTTGAATTTCTAAATAAAGTAAATAATTTAAAATGGTTTTTAGTGTGACTCCTTAACCAGAGGGCCATTTCCCTTACGGAAAAATTGAAGCATTTTTAAGGTATAAATGAGGTTGTTATTCAAATACGTTGCTAGGGGGAAAAGGGTACATATGAATGCCACAAAATTTACCTCAGATATACCTTTTATATATTTCCAGAAGTATACATATATTAACCTGAGATTTTTCATCTTACATCTGAGGAGAGGTGGATATTTAATACTTATAATGTGTTTTGTTTTCAACCTCAGGTTATTGATTATTAACCTGAAGTATATTTTTTACACCTTGTGGAAGTATTTATTCAACAACCTAAGGTGTTTCATTTAGCACTTCAGGTTATTCTGGATCTATCTCAAGTGTATTTTTTCACAGTTGTAAAGGTAATTTTTCACTGAAGTGCGGTGCTTTATGCTCTACCTCAGATTATCATATTTCAACCTCGAGTATATATTTTTATTCTTATAGAGGTATTTTTTTATCAACTTAAGGTATATCAATTTTGCACATTAAGTTATTAT